GCAGCAGCCTAACAGGAGTGTCTGTTTGTTTCTTTTCACAAAGTGAAAGTGGCTTCCTTTTGTAGAACTTCCCCCCATCCCTTCCCTCTGGTCTGCCACTATTTCCTATAGTGGACACTTCAGGGCTATTTTTCATTCAAATGATACTGAAACTGCAGCAGAGTTGGTGCTTCATCTCCACTAAAGCACCCCCATGTTTTATGCAAATTGGGCCAAGGATTTGAATTCTACAGGCCCCTGAACAAGCTGTCCCAGCTCTCTATTTTCCCAAACATAGTACTTGCAAAGAACAGAAAGGCTCCACTCTCACATAGGAGGGAGTGAAGGAGAACAATAGCTCTCTGCAGCTTGTCACCAAAGGTGATTGGCGGGAAGTGCTCTATGCTCCTCCTTTGCAGGGATCTGATTGAATGGGAGAAATGGAAATCAGTGGAATCAAAGAAAAAACACCAGCACATAATGCTTTACTGATAAGTACCCAAAGTATTAAAAAAAGACACACATAAACATTGCTTGTTCAAGGAGGGCGGTTTCATTAAACCAACAACCCCGGATTTGTTTTACTATTCCAAGAAATTACTGTACTGACCTGAACCGAATCTTTACAAGTTGGATTCTAAGAAGTGCCAAAAGAATCTATAAGTGACTGACAATGCAACTCTAAGCAGTTACACCCTTCTAAACCCATTAACTTCAATGCCAATGTAAGCCATCTGTAAGCTCCAAACCTTCCATTTGTTTGTAAAGAGGGGAGCGGTGGCACAGAGGATCTATCCTCTGGTTACAGTAACTGAACTGAACAGAACTGCTGTCAGTTCTAGCCCATACTGGTGTGAGCTACCAGCCTTGTCCCCAGCTCGCCGTCCACCCAGCGGTTCAAAAGCTTTGGCGAGTAGATAAAATGGGGGGGGGGTGTTAGCTGGCAAAACGGAATGTCCAGCTCATAAGCTCGGAAGCCTGGAAAGATCTCTTCAGCATTAAGAAGCCTGCGATGGGCCAATCCGGCCAGGCGGTGGCAGTGCGACGCTGCGACTTGAAGCAGTCCTGGAAAAACTGACGTCATCAAGCCAAGCCGAGTGAATGCCATCTGGAACACGTCTAAGTCTACAGCTGAACAAAATCCCCATCGGCTGCAAACGTGTGTGACTTAAAAAGATTTATATGTTGTCCTCCCTTACCCCTATGAATCATTGTTAGTCCCTTGTGAATATGTGTAACTGTAAATCGCTCAGAGCCAGCAGCTCTGCAGGATTGAGCGATTAATAAATCGAAATATATTATTATTATATTATTATTATAAAAGGGACTGGCCTGTCTGATAATATTGTTCTAATTATGACCATTTACAAAAAAGAATAATTATTATAAAATCATTCTTGGAATTATTTAAATATGAATGTGTTGGTTGGTTGGTCAGTCTCTAGTTCTTGCCCCCTTTTCCACCCGCCCAAACGTGAAATAGCACCCCTGGTGTTTGGTTGGCTCCAGTAACTCAATAACTACAAGTTTAAGAGATTAATTTGTCAAAGTTATTGGGACAATGCCTGTAATTACATCATAAAATAATGTCCACATACACCACTCAGATATAATACCCAGTTTTAGAAAGTCTGCAGATTAGCACTACACAAAATTAAATTCTATGCATAAGGTCTAATTTGTAAAAAACATTTTTGTAGCTTTAAACATTTTTCAATTTTGTGAGCTTACATATTTCAAAATTATTTCTCTACATAGAACTTGATTTATAGGGTGAAATTAATCAGATTTCAGTTTCCATTATGAAAAGTTTGGCTGTCTGCCTGTGATTGAACATTTGCATTTCTAGTTTTCACTCAGCTTATTAACTTAACAATTTCAGCCCACCCCCCACATAATATGGGATATTTAACCATCAGTTGCTACAAAGACAGAAGCCAAGTCTAAGAATTAAAGTTTCTGGGATTTCCCTAATGTCTTTTGGAAACTACATGCCAAAGCTTCCTTTATAACTGAGTTCTACACATTTTGTCTAAGGGCAAAACACTGTGTAACTATCAGCCTTTCCATTAAAATGCCTTAGACTTTAATGTCTGCAGGACCTCCTCTCCCTTTATGTTCTACCATGACAGCTTTGCTCATCTGAGCATAACCATCTGCAGGTGCCACCATGCAAGTTCAACAACTGCCCATACATGTGCATTCTCTGTAGCAGCCCAAACCTTATGGAATGGCAGGAAGGCTCCCATGCTTCCGTCATTCCACAAACTATGTAAAACAGACTTGGACTATATTTTAATGGAATTTTGCTTTAATAAAGGGGATGGACTGTGAAATATACTAGTCTGCATAGTATATATTATCTGTTTGCTGTATGTATTATCTTGTTCTCCCTGCAGACAGTATTCAGTCAAATACAAGACTTGGTTTTTCCCCACAGGTATACTCTAAAAAAGAGGGGGTTGTCTTACATGGCATACAAGTTACAGTCATGTTGAATAATTCTGTAAAACATTTTTAAGGGTCTTACATTCAGGATCAATTTACGTTTGAGGAAATATGGGTAGTTTTCGATTGTACTTATGTACTTTTTATGTACTTATATACATGTAATTTTCTGCACAGCTTAACATATCATGTCTAATACATAGGCCTTGTTTCAGATTTCTGTAATCCTAATCCATTTATTAAATGTCTTATTTTATTGATTGCATTGATTTACATTGTATATAAATAATGTAAATAAATAAATATTCATAGCTGATGGGGGGGGGGGTTTAGCAACGACCCAGCCTTTTTTCAGTATCTCATTTGAATGAGGTCACTGGCTCAAAAACAACATATTTCTTATTGCACTAATATGCAATAAGGTCTCATCCATGTGATAATTTCCAAGAGAAATGATTTCCATTGCTGAATCCTGGAATGGATAGGCATTCTGTGCTACTTCCCTACCTTAGTTGATTCCTCCACAGAGTTACATAGCTAGCACCATCTGTTTTGTTTTCCTTTGGAGAAGAGTACTATGGAGATTCAGCACTAAAGCTCGTGTGTGTGATCTCATGTGCACTTTTAGGTTCATTATACCACTTTTTCATGTTGTCCACTCCAGAAAGGACAGTACTGTAAAGATAGTAAGGATAGTACTGTACAGTCTCTTCCCATATGTGCCCCGAAGAGCCTTGCGCTCTTCAGATCAACACCGTCTAGCAATCCCTGGCCTGAAAGACTTCTGCCTTGCCTCAACCAGGGCCTGGACCTTCTCAGCCCTGGCTCCAGCCTGGTGGAACATGCTCCCAACTGAGATCAGGGCCCTGTGGGATTTATCACAATTCTGCAGTGCCTGCAAAATGGCCTCCCCTGCCCAAGCAACCATGTCGCTATTTACATCTTGGACGCCAGGAGTGACTGACCTGTTTAAGCAGAATGCACTCGCTCCCTGGCATGAGCCCAGCAGACATTGAAAGAAGAAATTATTCACTGAGCTGCCAGTAGATATTTAAATTAGTCAACTAAATCTTAAATTGTTTGAATTAATGTTTTAATGAACTGTCCTATATAATTAATGTATGGTTTTACTGTTGAATTCAGAATATTACCAAAAATTCTAGAGAGGAGTAATGAGAGACAAGCCAAATCTCATCAGATCTCACAAGGCTAAGTAGGGTCAGGCCTGGTTAGTATTTGGATGGGAGACCAGCAAGGAATACCAGGGTTGTGATATAGAGGGAGGCAATGGCAAACCACCTCTTGAAAGTCTTTTGTCCTGAAAACCCTACGGGGTTGCCATAAATCAGCTGGGACTTGATAGCAAAAAAACAAACCAAAGAATGACAAAGGCAAAAAAAAAATTGCCTTAGGCCCCTGCCACACGGCAGGGGAAAAGCCCTTTAAAGCGCGGCTTTTAAAAGCCGCGCCAACGTTGATACGGCTCGGCGGGATCCCACGGATCCCCCGGCCGAGCCGCCTTTTCTCCCCGGCGCGATCAAACGCCGGAGAGAAAAGACGGCTCTAACCGGGAGCCGGCCGAACTGCGCATGCCTGAGCATGCGCAGTTCGTCTCCGGCCCGGGGTTGTGCCGGCGCGTCCTTGCGCCGGCGATCAGACGGCCGGGAAGAGGCGCTGCATCCACTTGAACCACCGAGATAGGTGGTTCAGTTTGCGGCGCGGTTTCCACTAAAAGAGACAGTTCGGGGACGGTTTCACGGCACTTCCCAGATGTTGCGGTGTGATCGCGCCGGTTTGAACCGCCCCCTAACTGTCCCGCTCCCGGACCAAATAGGTAAGTGTGAACGGGGCCTTAGTGAACTAAGTGTTTAACATTCAGTTCTCACAATAGACAGGCGAGACAATCAGGAGCTTGCTCACACTAATACTAAGAAAACAGGTAACAACCATCCACCAAAATGACAATCTCCAAGTGCTCTTAGTCATCTGCTGTTTATACAGCTATTTAGATCACAAAGAAATTAAGGGGGGAAAATGACTAATTCTAGAAAGAATAATGCAAATTTAGCACATCAAATAACCACTATGTAGTGAAATTCAAGGTTTTATAATGGGTTGGGTAGGCAGAAGAAGAAAAATGGTGAAAAAATATCAGTCAGAGGGCCTGATTCATGCATATAATTAAGTTTAACAATGGAGGATTTTTGCCATCACTTCCACTGGTTCTTTAGGACTTCTTCAAGCCAGTAAGCCAGATCACTACTTACTCAGAGGATCAGGCTGCATTTAACAAAGTCATCTAGTCTGAATCTCCAATCCATAACCTTCAAGAATATGTCTTTATGTTCTAGTCTGTAATATTCTCAAAACTGACACAAGTTACCTTTTTTTTTTACAAAAACAAACAGTAAAGAGAGCTGAATATCTAAAATATCCACATGCTTATCCTTAGCCAAATTTGCTTAAATGAGGTAAGAAATATGGTCAAGTATGTTAGTTATTTAGCCACCCTCTTTTTCCCCTGACAGCATAGAAAAATCCAGCTATTCTCAGCAAAACAGAACAAAATTTACCTTATATCCTGAGGATTTGATGTGCACGCCTCGCTTGGTCAGGGTAGATTTCATCCGGATGAAAAAAGACCTCTCTAGATTGTTGTCCGTCATAAGTAGGCTGGGGCTCGTGGATTCCACTAGAAAAGAAATTTTTATAAAAATCATCCATGGATTATTTAAGTTGTTAGAAATCTCTTTGAACTATTTCACAGGTATGACCAGTGAGCTAAGTACAAATGAATAAGGAATCACTCATGCCAACGTGCTGCAAAAAACAAGATCAGCCTCAGTTATTAACTAAACTATTATGTTGATCCTGTGTTCTAGAAGATTTTTGGTTTCTTTGTGAAGCTAAAACCGGGCTTCATGTGTTACCCTACAGGACCATTTTCCCTAGATGTGCTCCTGTGCCACTTATGGTCTTCTAGTTACCACTGTCTAGTTGTCTCTGTGTTTGGTATTTATCGGAGCATGGATATTTTCAATTTTGGCTCTCACCTTTTAAAATAGGCTCTCTGCAAAAGGATGCCATCCTTTTACAAGGCCCTGTAAAGGCCATTTTATTTGTGAGGGTTCTTACTGAGGTTTGAGTCACAGGTGTTTTCAGAGGAGGTGAAATGGGGCATTGTTGTATTATCGATCTTATTACAGAAAAAGCCAGTAAAACAGTACAATTCTGTTATAAGAAGGATTAAAACAGTAATAACATAAGATATAAAAACATTAACAAGAGAAAATTAATAAAATTAGTAAAATAAAATAATGTTAATAAGAGAATCATACAGTTTTTTCAGCTAAAATAAGTTTACGTTTCCTAATAGCTAAGCAACCAGATTTTGCCACAGTGTAAGTCACTGAGCTCTGAACGTCTTCTAAGAGGAATTTATGAAGGACTTCTGGCCTAAAGTCAAGATAAGACTGCAGAGGGTTAAATCTAGACAGAAGGGGGAGTATAAGATGGTCTCGTTCCTCCTGATAGAATCTGCAGAACAGGAGGACATGAGTAATTGATTCCACCATATTAGCCATGCATGGGCATATATACTCATGCATTGGAATGCAAGTAAAAGTATAGCGGAAGGGAGTGCCTCAAAATGGGCTCTGGAAAAGGCCCATCTATAGGGCTCATAGGTAATGTTAAATAAATAAGGGGCAGCAGTAAAATTAGGCCAAGATTTTATATTTCTGAAGTTCTTGGGTAGCGAAGCTTCTTTATTTTGAAATTCAATATCACGAAGCCTCTGTGCGACAGCTGTTCTGTTCTTGCCTTGCATAGGCTTCCATAGAAGAGATCTTCTGGGAATAGGCCAATTTGATTTAACTTATTAAGAATGTGTGTGGACCAGGCAGGGTAAGGGTCCGAGGCTAAAAGGTATTGTTGTATTATGTATGGATTAAAGCCCCTTCAGTCACAAGTGAAAGGTTGGGTATAAATATCTTACCAAATAAATATTTACTTTATTTATTTATTTTTAATCTATTTTTCGCATTTATATTCTGCCCATCCCATAAACAGGCTCAGGGTGGGTTACAATATTTTAATAAATACAATAAAATTTAAAACACTTTGAAGCTACATGCCATGGTACTCTTAACAGCTCACACTAGATCTGTCTTGGAGTACAGACTTGTTGAGGGAAAATAGTATGTGAAAAGGTAGGAAAGTTCCACAACTCAAGGTAGGCTGTATGTGATCAATGTCCTTTCAACTCATAATGCAGACTGACTGCTATTTTCAGCTTTTATCCCTTGGTCAGCATGAAAACTGCTTCATCAAGAGAATCAGACAATCGTGTGCTTGCTTTGGAGCTACCAATGCTTCCTTTTACTACAGCTAGTCATTCAAACTGGACCAACAAACTGTTCAAGGAAGGGGAGGGAGTGGCTGCAGCTTTGATAACTCTGTTTGAAAATAAATTATGTGGTTACGTAATACAGTACTTTTATTTCCACATCACATTTTAATCAGTTTCACCAAAACAAAGTTTACGGAGGTGTTGTGGATCAGGCCCACAAGATGAATAAGTAGAAATCTGTCTTTCTGTTTCAGAAGTTTAAACAAAAGGGGAAAAAAACCTGTACTACTGTCTTTTTAAGTAAATAGGTAATTATTAGCAGAAGCTTTACCTGGCTTGTATCAAAAGTGTTTGCTGGGAGATAAATAATTTGGCCACCTATAATATTGATATTAACGTTTATGTCTCTTACTCTGATGTGGTCATATTGACTTTGTGCTTACGACATTTGTTGTGCTGCATCCATCAACAAGAATGGTCCTTTCTTCAGTGTCTTTCTTAAGAGATTTTTTTGTTTTGTTTTAGAGAGCATGAATTCCATGTCATTTTAAATGTACAGCTCTTTATCACTCGAGGGAAAAGCAGAGCCATGTTATATTTAGTACTTTCATTTCTTCTGATTAAATATGAATTACTATGAAATTTTTCTCATCATCTAACACGCCATAATACGCCAACAGCTTTTTAATACACTATATAAGCACAAACTTCTGCTCTAAGAGCTTAATTTGCCCCTCTAATCCAATCACATCAACCTTATTTCTCTTATCAGAGATTCCCATTTTGAATTAAATGAGCTCATTAGTTTTAATCAAAAGCAGAGAGATCAAAACTTAAACGTAAATGCTTTAGATCAGAACTGTCAGTCAGCCGTGCAGTTCTATTTTACTAAAACACAAGATCAGAGACCCTTAGAACCAATTTTTCTCGTAAGGGATGCCGAGAGCTCGAAGATGCTATATCCTTTTTTCCCCCTTCCCAAGGACAGATTATACATTTAAGGTTAGACTTAATTTAGAGCGGTTTTTTCCCCCTCCATCCTGGTGGAAATGGAAAAGTATGCCAATCTGCTGTTGTCTCTTTCACATTTATTGGTGCTGGTCCTTGGAGACCTGAACAAACGTGAAACCATCAGAAATCATGCCACAAACCTGGCCTCAGCATTTCAGTTCCATTCAGCAATATTGTGTTTGCTACATCTAAGAAATGAAAGTTTCAAAGCAAGGAAATATACGATCAGGATCAAGGTTACTGGAACCCTGAAACCACAAAAAGGGTCATAAGCAGTATCGGCAGTGAAAGACTCACCGTTAATTATTACAGTTATTATACAGCACTCTACAGTATGGTGCTTAAAGTGTACATTAAGGAACCCCAGCGTGTGTTCTTCCTGCTGAGTGAATAAATGTTAGAATCAGCTTAACATGTACAGCTGCTGTAGTCCAGTACGTTATGACCTAACACAGACTGCAAGTAAAATATGCTGCAATGTGTTTTTAATGGAAATTACCTAAATACACGGAAGTAGTGTTAATTGGGAACATAAAAGTTCCCTGCTAGATCAGATCAAAGGTCAGCTTAGCCCAGCCTCCAGCTTCCAGCAGATGTTCTAGGAAACCCACAAGCATAACATACAGGCAACAATCCAGTTTCCTTTCCTGCAACCGGTATTCATTGGTATACTGCTTCTGAACAGGGAAGTTCCATTTAGTTATTGTGGTTAACAGCCACTGACAGACCTATCCTCCACCAATTAATCATACACAAATCCTCTTCAGAGCATATTTGGTTGTGGATTGATGGTACCATATCCTAGAGTAATGTATTCCCTCATGTAAGATATGTCTCACTATCGACTATCCATTCTGAAAAGATTTCCATTAGCGAAACTATGCTCAGCTTACCTTGATTAAAACTATCACCCAACTGATAGTTCAATTAGAGTTATTTGTGTTTTGTCTTTTAATTGATTAACTGATTACATTTAAATGCATTTGCACATTGCCAAAAATTTCAGTATAGCTGAGGACACACTTGAAGGTAGTTTAGAGACTTCATCTGGTGCAAAGCACAGTTTCCAAAAGCCAGCTTGGTGTAGTGGTTAAGAGCAGTGGACTCTAATTTGGAGAACCGGATTTGATTCCCCACTATTCCACATGAAGCTAGCTGGGTGACCTTGGATCAGTCATAGTTCTCTCAGAACTCTCTCAGCCCCACCTACCTCACAGAGTGTCTGTTGTGGGGAGAGGAAGGGAAGGTGACTGTAAGCTGCCCCGAGACTCATTTGGGTAGTGAAGGGCAGGGTATAAAACCAACTGTTCTTTTTCTTCTTTTTAATAAAAGCTACTTGAAGAATGTGACACTAGTCCAGGATGCCACTGGATTTCTGAAGATAAAGTTCATTTTGTATTTATTGTAAATACTTATATCCTGCCTTGTCTCCTTAGACTCAATGAGGTTTATGGTTGCCAACCTTGAGGTGCATCCTGGATATCTAATTACTACTGATCTCCAGACTATAGAGATCAGTTCCCTTGGAGAAAATGGCTACTTCAGAGGGTGGACTCTATGGCATTATATGGTGAGCCACCTCCCACCTCAAAGCCCACCCTCCCCAAGCTCCACTAGCAAATCTCTTGGAATTTCCCAGCCCAGAAGTGGCAACCTCACCAGTGCAACAAGTTGCAAGGAAACAAGAAACGTAACAGTCCATGAACAGCACACAGAAAAACAAAGATTAACTATATTGCTGTTGATTCTTATGTGGGTTTTGTTGTTTCTGCAAGTTTTCTCTCCCCACTAAACCGCCACTGAAATTCCTCAACACCTTTACAGGCAATTCCTGTAAAGGTACCTTTACAGGCAATTCCTGTAAAGGTACCTTTACAGGCAATTCCATATCTATACAATTCCATAAAAGCCTGTTGCAAATTCTTCCCTGCCATTTGTCCTCTGTCCCCTGCAGAAGATTTCCCTCCTCTTATGAGCTGAATCTAGCCTGTCTCAAACTTCCCTTTCCTTCCTCTCAATACTTACTTTACAGCAGAAGTCTTACCATAAGAACGTCTGCAACACAGAGATCTCTGGGACTTGTGTGATAATCAGACTTTCTGGGTCCTTACTAATGGTTGAGCAGCCCTGGAACAATACAGACTGCTTGGGCTTTTAGGCATAAAAAGGATGCTCTGTGCTCTTATCCCTTCCCCTGCAAAGTAAATTTTAGAGAAGCAGCCAGGGCATAAATGCTTGGAATTTATTATGAACAACGGTTCCCAACTCCAGGTTGGGAAATTCTTGGAGATTTCAGGGGAATGGAGCTCAGCAGGGTATAATGCCATAGA